GCAAGCCCAAGCACCACACAGGCCCTATGATCCATCGATCCAAGCAGTATTTGCCGTGGGCAATCACGTTCCTCCCTTACATTCTTAGACCACTTCATCTTTGYTGTAAGGAATTTAGGAAACTCAGCAGATCTTTCCAAGCTGTCCTTTCCAACATGTGCTGTATCATCATTTCGACCAATCAGATGGAACTGGAACTTAATCATTGCAGGGTATCGGAGCCGTTTGATGAGATGGCCGTGGTTCCCCATTAGTTCAAGYGTYTGCAAGWACTCATCCTTTGTAAGCGGTCRATCCATCTTGCTTGCCTGGCCAAGCCCTCTGGTTTCCTTCTTGATAACAGCTGCAATAAGATCATTAACTTGCTGCGACTTAGTAGGATTTCCACTGCCAACGCCACCAACAACAGTCCATTTGTGCAGCTTGTTTGGCATGAAATACGATAAGGCTTTCTTGTAGTAGTAAACAAGGGATGAACTCCGTCCCTCAGTAGGATTATCATCGACACCAGGATCCTCCCTACCAAAGACTTTCTTTGCAAAAAACTTGTAGATATGATCTGGTGTTAGGAGACTCAACTGCTCATCCGTGAATAGAGTATCATTTGGAAACCGATTATCATTGTCTCCTCCTTCGTCCACTCTTCCGTGTACATGATCCATTAACTCAAGCAGAACCTTGTGGTATCTTCCCCATTGGCCTGGCTGGTTCACATCTCGTGGAGGCGTTACAGGCCCCCCCCCTTCTTTTCTGAGCCCGGGGATGACGACGCTGTTCCTGTTGAGCTGTTACCATTTGGTTGTTGCTCCTTGTTGCTGCTGTTTTTATAGTTGTTTGGGGTTTTGCTTGAACCGGTACTTGTATGCGATACTCCTCGTAGTATGCGGTAGTACGACTTGTATGAGGTAGTACTCGTCGTATGCGATACTCGTATGTGAGCGTTGCTGCTGTTACTATTTTGTGAGCAAAAAATGCACCTCTCGTGAGTCAATGGGGCTGCGAGGATACTCTTCTTGTGCTGCTGTTCTTCGATATTCGATACTTACAGTACTACTCCTATTCTTTGCTTGTTCTTTCAGTATTTGCTTTGCAGTATTTGCTTTGCAGTATTTGCTTTGCAGTATTTGCTTGTTCTTGCTTGGGGTTTTGCTTGAACCGTATACCGTATGCGAGGACTGCTGCAAATTTTATGAGCAAAAATGCACCTCTTGTGACGAGGAAAATGCACCTCTCGTGACAAGGCAAAGGACGAGTTGCAAAATGGTTGCATACTCAGTGTAATTTGCTCCGTCTTAAGCAACCAAAAGAGGTGCGGATGCGACCACAGCAAAAAACTCAATACGGTTGCACAGTAGAATTTCTACCAAAATTTATGTAGGGGATGTAAGTACGGTGGTAAATGGAGTGGGATCAGTTGGGGTATTATAGCCTACGTAGAAATGTACGTATTGTAAGTACCGATAAACTCCTTCGACCGTTTTGCAATATCGGTTGCAAAAATGGGGTACTCGTACGGTATCTGCTAAATGATACACACGTATTTTTTACTGTTGTTTGACTGTATATTATATGGTACATATTTTCGCACCCCTCATATTTAGTAGTATCAAAATTTTTCTGTGTACATTTCTACGGTGCTGATGTGTGTACTTGTATTATTTTATTAACTACTGGAGTCGCCTAATAAGTATAATAACCCACCGTATAACTGCTAACTGAAATATACAAATAATGATACACACTCCCACATA